CTGTGCTGCAACATCAGGATTCCTTGGCCAGGGTTGACCATCTAGCAAGGAATGGCTACTATGTCCCACAGCTGGTATCTGGGTGCTTCAGATGTACGCAGAAGCTACTTACTTCTTACCACAGTCTTCACCTGCTACACAAATCAACTCTTTATTCTGCTTCAAGATTTCTGAACCAAAGGTGACTATAGGCTTACAGGTCAGTAACAAGACAGTGAAATCAACACAGTGAAACTATTCTCTGCTCTTCTCTAGCTTCTCTCCTGGCATGAGGTGCTTGATCCTCATGCCAGGAGAAATTACACCAAGGGTGTTCTGACACAGCTGGTAATTGGACTCTGACTCAGCTTCATAGTCAATTTGTTGCATAAAATTACTAGGGCTGCTCAAGGAGGTATTAGCATTTTTTTACAGAACAGGACTTTGTAGTAGGTATTTGCTGGTCACAACCACCACCACACACTTCGCCTCTAAGGTTTACCACTTCCTAACATCCCAGATCTGTCCAATGACCATGTATGGTTTTCTAGAGCTCTACTTTCATGAGGTTTGTATTCTGCTAGGTCACTCTTCTGACAAAGAATCATCAGGCCACTTATACCAAAAAGCATAAACCAGAGAAAACACTGTGGAGCTATTTACGTACATGGTTTAAAAAGGCACATGAGAATGAAATTTCTGCTCCCTCACACTCTTCAATGGGAAAGAAACATAATCCTGACCTCTTTTGTAATGCTGGTATAAAAATCATAACCAAAACCGGCAGTTTTGTTAGCCCCTACCCACTCCAGCCACAGCCTGCTATACAGAGTGGAATGCAAAAGCCTTGTGGGAGAGGACTTCACTTCCTCCTGAAGCTCTTCATCCTCACATGGGGTTTCTTCAATTTACCAGTTCATGACTAACCGTCTTCTCTAATCGCCACCTGGTTTGTTTACTCTTAGCTACTGCTACCACCAGCTCCTCTTCCCTGAGCAGCTAAAATTAGCACTGCAAAGGGCGTGAACATCCTTGAATGAGAATTAGCCAATACTTCATGTAAACCATAGGATGCACCTGTGCTTATAAAGCACCTTGTAGAATTGGGACCAGAGTGCTAATACCTGCAAAACTGCCCTCCATAACAGACAATAATAGGAAGAAAAGCAGAGTGTCCCTCAATAAGGTGCAAACCCAAAAAGGTATTGCCTCTCATGTTCTCTTTCAAATGCAAGAACACAAGGCAAGTTTTTATTCTTTTTTTAGATACAACTAGCTTTTGAAATGGAAGCACTAAAACCACTACTAATCTTAGAGCATTAACCTAGCTGCCCCTGTGTAGTAGTTGCCTTCCAAACCTGAACTCTCAGCCAGCACCAAGGCAGTGTTCACATGCATTAAAAACAAGGCTATAGTAATAGAATCACAAAATGGTTTGAGTTGGAAGGGACCTTAAAGATCATCCAGTTCCAACCCCCCTGCCATGTGCAGGGACACCTTTCACTAGACCACATTGCTCAGACCCTCATCCAACCTGGCCTTGAACACTTCCAGGGATGGGGCAGCCACAACTTCTCTGGGTAACCTGTTCCAGTGCCTCATCTCCCTCAATTGTAAAAAATGTCTTCTTTATCTCTAACCAAAATCTACCCTCCTTCAGTTTAAATTCATTGCCCCTTGTTCTATCACTACACACCCTTGTAAAAAGTCACCCTCCAGCTTTGTTGTAGGCCCCTTAATACACAAAGTCCTTTAGCATGGATGATTCTGATGGTGAGAGCTCCAAGAAAAACTTTATCCATCCACAAGCATTCAGAGGTCCAGCAGACTGAGCTCTTTGCACTTTTTGTTCAGCAGTTGTTCACCCCTTGGTCTGCAGGAACCCATCCCGACACCACAGCCTGGCCAGACCCAAGAGACACTGAATGTTTTCAGCATTCCTGTACTATGGCCCAGAAGGGGCCATTAGATTACAGAGATTAAGACCATTCCCACACAGACAGGAAAAGCAACTTTAGCCCTTTTGGCTGGAAGAGCCAGCTGATCCCTCCCATGCTTAAGATGTCATTATCCAAGATCCCTTCCTCCGTGTGCCTCATCCTCCTGTCAGTCTGCAGCTTTAACCTCTCATGTTTCCAGTCACATTTTATTTGCGTTTACAGCTACGCAACACGCTGAGCAATTCCTCTCCATCTTCACCTCTCCGGATCATCTCTTGCTAGGGAGGAGATTCATTCGGCATCTTAGAGGAAGATAGTCTCCCTTTACTGACAACTGTTTGTTTCCAGCAACTTCTCACTCCAGATTTCCTCTGCAGCTTTTAGATGCTATAGTTAGGTTTGGGATGTGTTTCACTGAAAACCCCACCCCAATGAAAGTGCACCTTTCACTTGTGCCTGCTAAAGGCTGAACGGAGTTCAGAGAAGAAGAGTTTGCAACTCCTTTAGCCAGGCACTTGCAACCACAAACCCTCTGTGAGTTGTAGCTGTGTTGTGTATGTGTCTCTGCCCATGGCAGGGGGGTTGGAACTAGATGACCTTTAAGGTCCCTTCCAACCCAAACCATTCTATGATTCTATGATTCTATGTGTACATTATACACGAGATATAGCTGGGAGGAAATCTCTCCTCTTTAAACCTCCTAAATAATAACAACACATTTATACAAATAAGAGGTATAGAAGAGGCAAAAATAAAGTTACAGGATCAGGCTGACAGCAATTAGAAACGCAACATGTTAAAAAGCAAATCCATGCTGCTTTAAGTATTTCCCCCACATACTAGCAGTTGCTTTGATTTTTGCACACCTAGTTGGAGGAAATGGAGTAAGAGGAAGTGGCAAATGGTGTATGTAAAAATACGGTTATAACAAGGTGTCCTTAAGGAATGTAATAATTAAAAATAGTATGCAAATACAGCTGAGTGACTAGTCGTCTTAAAAAAAACACCTATTGCAGCAATAGGATTTTAAAAAAAATAATAACCAGGCTTTCTTCCAAGGATAAATTAAAGTAAACAAACTGCAAATTTCAATAATGTTTTTCTGCTCACCATCAGTCTACTTTTGGAAAGAAAAAAAAATAGTATTTCCAGTATTTCAAAAAAAAAACCAAACATGCAACTCAAAGAAAAGGAAGAAGAAAATAGAATACAGGACCATATCCAAAAAAGTGAGCTCCTGCTTCACTCCAACTGACAAACATAGTTACATATTTCAGCTCAAAATTTTGAATGAGATGTAGAGGAATAAGGGATAAGCTTTACTGTGCTTATTTCTCTACCAGTTTATCATTCTTTCTCTTGTTTTTACGTATAGATTTACAACCAACTTGCCAGGACAACACTACAATTGCAGCCACAGCAAGCCTCACGCTTTGGTAGAGAGCTCTTGATGTAGCAGCAGGGGCTGGAGACACCCAGGACTGACCCATGCCACTCAGCTGAACCTCTCTGCTGGCCTAAACCTCCAAACATCTACTCAAAGTTCACGTGAAAGGGCGAGCTTTGTTAACCTTTACCTTGGAGTTTGCTACAAAGGTCTGTGAAAAGGAAAAAGATTCAGCTAGAAGTAGTAAAACTGTTGATCAGAAGGTTTTCAAACTACAGCAAGAACCTGAAGAGTAAAAAATATTCACAAATATTCACAAAAATGTGTGCCCCGTGTACTTACTGTAACCACATACTATGGACTGAGAATGGATTTGTCAGCCATAGAAGTGTTAGGGAACCATACCGTGTTTTTATAGCAAAAAGCATGTTCTAATTCAAACCAGAAATCAGTTCTGGGAAGTCCTCCTGTTTCTGTTACACATCAGATTACATCAGGAAATCACAAATGTCCCATCTAGTTTAAAAAATAATCTGATAACAGGAGCTCAAGCAATACGTCTTTGGGGATGGAAGGAGTACGTGGTAACTCTGTATTGCACAGTTAAATAAGAATTCAAATAAATCACTGAAACCAACAAAGCAAGTCAAATAGAGCTTTCAGTTTTTGCTTGATATTCCAAACATGGTACCTCTTCCAGATACCAGTGGAAGCTGATGGCAGCTCGCTATAAATTCTTGCCCAGTCTCCTTTATCATGCCTCCCTCTCTTACACAAGAGAAGAAAAAAAAAAATCTTTCCAAATGATAAAAAAGTCACAGAAAATTAATTCCAAACCCTTGAGAATATGCTGAAGATAAAACACATTTGTTAGTAATGTAGAAGTTGAATAGCATCTATAGCTTTGTTATTTCTACCCCTTAGAAAATATGACAAGCTTTGAACACATAAAAACAACTCTCATATTCTGAAGTTCAAAAATAATCCATTAAAATGACCATTTTGGGAAGGAACTGAGTAAGAGTTCTCCTTGATTTATTACAGAGGTCTCTACTTCTATTGAGCTAAAGGAATGCTTGTCTCCTATTTTTTTTGTTTTAACTATCCTATCTTACAAGTCAGCAGTTCAGATCTGCTGAGATAAATCCCAAAAGTCTTACAGCTGCCTTTAGCCATGAATGACAATTTTGTCTCATATATACATATATACACACTTAATACCAAATAATAACTCTTATCTGTATTTCTTATAACACTTGGCAGTAATTCATATACTGTGAAGAGACATGTTTTAAGACATATTACTTGTTGAAAGCTGCTGAGGAAATGCATGGATCACCCCTTCAGAAATCTCTTCCTTCTTACAATTACTACTAGAAGAAAAACACCTATTGCAACCACATTAAGGTTGAGTTAATTCTAAGATAACCTGAAGATGTCAACATCAAGACTTCAACTAAGTAGCTTTTGTCATGTAGTGAGGTATGTTCTGAGGAATGCAGTAAGGAAAAAAACATTCAAGTGACCCAGAAACCTTGGGAATGCTTTTAAGTTCCTCTTAGAGAAGTATCAGCACACGTGCTTTGTGCATCAGCACACCTCAAAACTCTGATGCCAACTTCTGCAGTTTAGGGAAGCCTTATTTCAGCAGGTTTAAACCATTTATTTCCACACAGTAGTAATTTTATACTTACGCAAAAAGTGTTTTTCCAGTAAGGCTATTTCCAGGTGACCTTTGATCTCATTCAGTCTGTCAGATTCCGTTCTGTTAAAATCCTGGACTCCTGAAGCCATGATGATGGTCCCTGGACCAGCCTATAAGAAAGCCAGAACACACTGACAGCTCAGAGGCATCTTTTCTTTGGTCATTTAAATACATCAGCTTACTTCTGGGGCAGTAATTTAACAGTCACATGAGAAACATACAAGTATCGATAACTCTGCATACCTCTTATTGAGCATTAAACTACCGAAATGAGTGAAAGCTAATCGAATGCACAGCATTTCTCCCATTGAGTTTACAAAATGCACTTCTGCAGACCTGAAAACAAAGACTTTTTTTTTCCCCTCTCCTTTACCAGTTCTGCTGCATCATCATCTAGCCTTTCTTCTGCTGATTTAAAAGGTGTATTTACACTATCCCTCTCCTCTTCCCATTCACTGAACGGTCAATGCAATATCCTTTACGTAAAAATTTGTGAAGCTGGCAAAAGTAATACTTTCCAAGATACTCATTGAGTTATTAGAAAACACATACTGTATATCTTAATATCCATTTATGGATGTGTAATTCTGAAGAGCACAGTCTCTCTGCAAGGAAGATCAGTGTAGGGGACAGCAGCTCCCTCACCTCCAGTACTGCCCAGCTGCTGCTGAAGGATGTGGTTGGTGCCCAGCAGTTCATCCTGGCAGGCCAGGAGAAGGAGTGAGTGAGGAGATTATGCCTTGACTGCTTTACCAGCATCCCTCGAATGAACTCAGCACTAGAAATACTTCAGAATGCAAGAATTAAAGAGTGACTTGATTAGTTAGGACAAGCAGGGACAACTGCCACCTCCACAAAGGGAGCACAGAAAAACCCCAAGCTCACACAGCAGAAGGCAGGTGACACTGCTCTTCTCCCGTAATGGGTATTTTCAAACAGCCAGAGAAAGGGAGGGTGAGGGCATCTTCCCAGTAATGGCTGTTCAGGCACTGTGTGCAGTCCCCCTCAGGTACAAAAAGTCTGTCAATGACAATTATAGGAGCTTCTCCAACAGCTTATACTCAAAACCAAAGTGCTAGATTACAGAAGCCTACATCTGAGACACGATCTCAAGACAAAAAGTCCTCAGTCCCCTACCCCTTGTTTGAGCTCTGAAAACATAGAGGAGTTGTATTGCATTCAAAAGTCAGCTTGTATATATCTAACCACGACAGCTTAAATTACATACATATATCAATTCAACTAATTTACATGAGAGTTAATTAAAAGATATTTTCTATGGTCTAGGAAAGATGTACCGAAAGCTCACTGACAGCAAAGTACTTTCACTATGTGCAATGATTTGCACTTTCAAAATTAACCAATGTGGAGATACCTATTAAACATCTGTTTTTCTTTCTTGAGCTGAACAGATGCTGAGTTTAAGCCTCCAAATTTGTCTATACAGGCAAATTAGCACTCCGTAGGCATTTACTGCCTGGCGTTTACCTGGTACCAACTCCCCGCCTGAGCTCGCTCCATACAATGCCAGGCAGAGATGCTATTTCCAGCCCTGGAAGCAGCCTGGTGACACCCACGCAGCTCTGCCAACGCTGCTGGCCCCGAGCAGGAGCAGAAGCCATCAGCTCAGCAGCAGCCCTGTGCTGCTTCTTGTTTTGGAGCCAACACGAACCGTGTCACAGTAGAGATGGACAGACTCCATGGCAGTCCTCATGTGGGGAGCGCTACAGCACAGTGTCCTCCTCCCCGTGCTCCGGATCTCTCGTTCACAGCTGCCTTTAGGCAGAGAGGTGCTGTAAGCCGTGCCATTTGCAATCACTCCAGTCGTTGCTGAAGAGTAACAGCTGTCTGTTTTCAGAGGAGCATGGGATGACAATTAACCTCTGTGTTGATTTCTTATCTATAGAGCTATGTCATATTTATTTATGCTGCAATATTTAGTGTTATCACTAATATTCTCCAGACACTTGGAGAGCCCCAAAGAGGAAGGTGTGGCTGAAGTCGAACAGCAGCATAGGTGGACATCATGCTGTGTGGACAGGCAAAAGGAAAGTGCTATTAAAATAAAGACTGCTGTCCATATGTGCTGGGTTTACGTGATGGGGTTTGGTAGCACAGGAAGGGCTGCAGAAATGGCCCCTGTAAGTAGCTGTGAAAGCCAGGCTCCAAAACCGGGGGCAAAAACCCACGCGGGGGCAGAGATGCCTGGGCCTGAAGTTGTAGAGAAAGGTCTCTGTGAGCTGCTGCAGGCTGACGACAAGGTGGAGAGGCATGTGAAGTTCGTGGAGAACCCCACGCCAGAGCAGGTGGCAGCTCCCTAAGAAGCCGTAACTCTGTGGTAAAAGCCCACGCCAGAGCAATCCGATGGGTAAGGATTGCATCCTGCCAGAAGAACTCATGTGAACTGTCCCATGAGGAGGGGATCCATTGGAGCAGGGAAAAAGGGTGTAAGGAGTCCTCCTCCCTTAAGAAAAGAGCAGCAGAAATAACGTGTAATGAAATGACCTGCAAACCCCCCCCTCCCACTTTCTCCATCCCTCTGTGCTGCTGGAGGAGGAGGCAAAGCCAGGAAGAAGGGAGGGGTGGGAGGAAGGTGTTTTTAAGATCCGGCTTTGCTTCTTGTTATCCTCTCTGAATGAACCGTTAACAAATTAAATTGATTTATCCCCAAGCTGAGTCTGTTTTGCCCGGGGCCGTGGTCGGTGGGTGATCCCTCCGCTGTTCTTTTCCCGACCCTCAGGCCTTTTGTTACGCCTTTCTTCTCTGCACCCCACCAAGGGGAGGAGTGAGCGAGCGGCTGAGTGGTGGCTGAGCTGCCAGATGGGCTGAACCACGACACCAGGCATTAAAGCATGGCTTTCCATATTGTATATCCACGTCTGGTGCGAAGGGACAACCTCTGCTACTAGCATGCAGCTTAAAAGCTACTACCACTGCTTAAAAATAAATAAATAGATAAATAAATAAAATCACATACAGGCCAAAGAACAAGATGCTGTACTCATCAGGAATGCTCCTGGCCTCTGAACACGTATTGGGATGGAATGGCAAGGTTTTGGTAGCAGGAGGTCTACAGAGATGGCTTCTGTGAGAAGCTGCTAGAAGGTTCCCCTATGTCAGACAGAGCCAATGTCAGCTGGCTCCAAGATGGACCCACTGCTGGCCAAGGCTGAGCCCATCAGAGACGGTGGTAGTGCCTCTGGGATAATATATTTAAGAAGAGGAAAAAAAACCTGCTGCATAACAGGAGCTGGAAGAGAAAAGTGAGAACATGTGAGGGAAGGAGGAGAAGGAGGAGGAGGTTGTGCTCCAGGCACCAGAGCAGAGATTCCTCTGCAGCCTGTGGTGAAGGCCACGGTGAGGCAGGCTGTTCCCCTGCAGCCCATGGAGTAAGTGGATACCCAAAGGAGGCTCTAACCCCATGGGAAGCCCACACTGGAGAGGGCTCCTGGCAGGACCTGTGGGGGATCCATGCTGGAGCAGTCTGTTCCTGAAGGACTGCAACCTGTGGAAAGGGCCCACGCTGGAGCAGTTCATGAACTGCAGCCTGTGCGGAGGACTCACATTGGAGAAGTCTGTGGACGACTGTCTCCCATAGGAGGGACTCCACACTGGAGCAGGGAGTGAGTGTGAGGAGGAAGGAGCGGCAGAGACAACGTGTGATGTAGTGGCCGCAACCTAAGACAGCATCTGGCTCCTGTCCAAGCAGTCCCTGGTCGTCAGCCCCACGTGCTGCAGTGGGGACAGGAACATGGAGACTGAGGTGAGGGAGGAGAGGAAGAAGAAAGGGGCTAGCAAATATCTAAGCATATTCAAGTTTTCATTCTCATTGAAGATATTCAAGGTACTTCACTAAGAGATGAGGTACATTTCAGAAATCCATCTAGGGAACCACCAGCTCCACTTTTGCTTCTTCAGAGACATTAAGTTATTAATTAATAAGTCTAGGATACTTTGACTGTGCCTCTTAGGAAGCAGGAAAAAGCAAAAAGACACCTAGGACTGAGGACCAAGTGTTACACGTGAACAGAACTCTTTAAATTTCCAAATGTGTGTATCTGCTAAAGCATTAGAACTAACAAGTCTGACATCAGTTAATGGGTTAAAAATCAGCAGTTATACATCATTAAACTAACCCCAAAAGGTTACAACAACCTTCTAAGAGAAAAAAGGAAAAAAAACCAACTAAGTTAAAATATAAAGCCGCTCACTAAGAATACTAGGAGCAAGATCATTTTATTATTACACAACAATCGCATGGTTTAACCAGAGTAGAAAGATACAGTGATCTAAGTTTGGTGGAAAACAAAGCATGCAATTTCCAAAATTAGTGACAACATAATGTATTAATGAATACAAGTTAGAAGCGTTCAGAAAACTGAACGCGTCCACGACAGCGATATGGGAGAAATGTAAGCAGATGCTTCTTTTGTCCCAGATTTTTTTCCCCACATCAACACACCTCGTTGTGTCAAGAGGTGTTAATGGGCTAAAAAGATAAGAAATAAGGTCTATACACTTGGTCGAGATCAACTGCCTGCCTCTGAATTCAAAAAAGTACCTGTCTGAAGTCATCATAACTGACTCAATTCACAAGTTAACAAAAAAAATTATCTTGTATTAATTGCAGCAGTAACTGGGCAATGTTTCCTCTCTGCTGCTGCCTCTGCAGGCTAGTGCTGGGACACAGGCTGGAATAACTATGCTTTTAACTTCACTACAGATGCCCTTTCTTGCTTCTGACTCAGAGTAAAAGCCTTGAAGGTTTCCACAGATTTCTGCTTTTCCTTCTGCCTCTCTATCTTTGACAGTATTTGACACAGGAACCCTCCTAAAATGTTGGCAATCACTATTACTTAGTGAAGACCATGCACAAGGCTCGGCAGTGCCTAGAAAGCCAGCAAAATGCCAGAGTTGAGCACGGAGAGTCACAGCCAGAGGGGTTAAAGGAAGATCTCTGATGACGACAGATTGCCACTGACCCACTATCAGAGTTCAGAGTTGCTGCTCCAAGTCACATCCACCTCCGGGGCTGAAAAACCACGTCTACCCACAAATGTGTCTTTCAAGCCATCTGCAGTTCAGGCTTTTCGTAACAGCGCCCCTCAAC